GACGCACATTATGTGTTTTATTGTGACTTTGTAGCAGTCGTCGACCTCCAGCGAGAGAAATACGACTGCGTAGCCTACCCACGTGCGCTCTCGCTGGCTTCTCGAGCGAGTTCCCATAAATCACGTATAGAACGATAGGACGCACATTATGTGTTTTATTGTGACTTTGTAGCAGTCGTCGACCTCCAGCGAGAGAAATACGAATGCGTAGCCTACCCACGTGCGCTCTCGCTGGCTTCTCGAGCGAGTTCTCTGAAAATTAAGTTTTTGTGGTTTTCCCCAAAAACTTAATTTTCACATTCCAGCCATATAGGTCCCTTTTCCCATGCCCCCTCATATATATATATATACCAGTGCAATATACAGTATATTATTACTTACACAGGTATATACAGGTTGGCCTCCGGGAAAGAACTGAGCGTAGAACTCAGATACAAGTACCTCCGGCCACCATACTACGATCGGTAGACGTTCACTTTCAGGTTAATTGTTAGTCCTCATACATTGCAGTCTTATTATCTCCTGAGTTGCTTTTACAACAGGTCAGAGGTGTAGGAATGGAGTGTGTTGATCCACTCAACCCTCGTCCACAGCTACTTGTAAGTACCTTATGCCTCAGACACAATACTCAACTTACCTCTCTCTCTCTCTCTCTCTCTCTCTCTCTGTGTCTGTGTGTGTCTCATGTCCAAAAGGGACGATTGCAGACCAGAGTGCATGTGGGCTGTCCTCCAGGCCTGTCTCTAGTGTTTGATCACGTCGCCACCCAGGCCAGAGACAACCAGTTCTGCACTACCACCAACAACATCAGCTGCTACTACTTTGGAAATGGTACACACACAATAACTATTTTAGCGACAGTATCTTTCTTATAGCTATGTAGGTGAATTTGGTTATTTTCTCAGTATATTTTAGGGGCTGCATGCAATAGTGTTTGCAATGTGGTGTTGTGAGATTTTTAAATCCCCGTCAAAAAAATTTTAACACAAAATTCCCCCGGATGAGTGTCACTTTCTTTCTTCTCCCTGCATCATCATCGTCCGACCTTGAGCCTACTAATACCGCTGGTAAACATAAACTCAAAATATTATTATCTGTTAAAATGGAAATTCACAAAAGAGTGAGTCTTCACTGGCACAAAACATTCATTCAATTTACACAACGTTTCGGTCCCTGAGGACCTTCTTTAGGTCTACAGTCTTTTGACAAAAACAGAAAAGTATGACAATGACAGGATGGCAACGGAATGCTGACCAAAAATGCAAAGTTTACAAAGTTACTTGCAATCTTCTCGTGATTGGATCATCAGGACGCACTCATGCGCACTTTTTATGGGGCGCGTGACCGCGGCCCAATCGCAGAGAGCTAGCTAGCTGGGCCGCCGGGCGTCATCTTCATCTTGAACCGTAGCTACTGAGAGACCAGCAGGATAAGACTGTCGTGACCTACAGCACGAGAAATGGCCGCGGAAGGCCTTCTCGCCGAGTATCCAGAGCTGCGGCCGTTCGTCCTCCCCAACGTGCGGCTCACTGGCGTCAGAATCGGCGCCGGAGCCTATGGCAGCGTCGAGGAGGTGGCCGTGCCTGGAGCCATCTGCGCCGCCAAAAAAATCCACGAAATCTTCCTGGACCGCTCCGAGATCCCCGCGGCCGAGATCCGCAGAGCCACTGCCCAGTTCGTGAGGGAATGTCAGCTTATGAGCACCCTCGGCCACCCGAATATCGTCAAGTTTCTGGGCGTCGCCTTCTTTCCAGGCTCGCGACTGCCAGCCCTCGTCATGGAGCGACTGCTGACGAGTCTTCACGACTTGCTGGACCCAGAAACGGACCCGCCTCCCCCGCCCAACACGCCCAAGCCTTTCTTCCCGCTGAGCCTAAAGTGCTCGATCCTGCACAACGTGGCGTGCGGTCTAGCCTACCTCCACGAGCGATCACCGCCCGTCATCCACCGCGACTTGTCGGCCAGAAACGTTCTCCTGAACTCGGGGATGGTGGCCAAGATCGTGGATTTGGGCGTGGCTCGTATCGTCCCTCGTATGAGAACTGCAGCCACCATGACAAAGGAACCTGGGGCCTCAGTCTACATGCCTCCAGAAGCCAGTGCTCCTGCAAAATCGAATGCCCAAAAGTCAAAGTACGATGCCAGTATCGATGTCTTCTCTCTTGGAGTAGTTGCCATTTTCACAATCGGTGAGGTCTTCCCCTGCGATCCCGTTGCTGGAACCTATCTCGATGAAGAAACTGGGGTAGTTATGGCTCGCACCGAACTACAGCGACGCGCTGAGTACATGCGACACGTGAACGAGCAACTCCGTGCCTGTGGCCAGCTCCGTGGGGACCACCCTCTCATTCGGCTGATCCAGCAATGCCTGCACAACGGTCCTCACAAACGCCCGAGCATTCGTGAGGTGCTGCGTCTGTTGGAGGAGGCCAGAGCTGGAGCCAGGGACAGCGGATGGGAAGAGGTGCAAGCTGCTCAGACCCAGCCCAGGAACCAGGTGAGGTGCCGTAATGCTGTGGTCTCTGCAACTGAAACTTGATTTGTGTTGTGCAGAGTTCTGAGAGAGATCTGCAGTCTCGTGTGCAGGAGCTACAGCAACAGCTGCTGTCCAGGAACCAGGTGAGGGACTCCCCCATACTGTCATAACAACAGAGTTTTGATAGCGAATTCCTACAATATCAGGAGAATGCAGATCTCCAGTCAAGCAATCAGGAACTACACTCCAGGAATCAGGTAAAGAGTAACAGTCACTCAGTTTTGCTGTGGCCCAGAATTACATTACGTCATCGCCCGTGGCAAATCAGTTTTCCGTGGTAGAAGCATAATGAGTACTGGCACGAATCCTCTCTCTCATAGGCCAAGGACAGGGAGTTAGCTGAGGCTCGGCAGCAACTGAGATGGAAGGTAAGTTTGCCATGTGTCTACGTAGGTGATGACTTTGTGTTTCTGATTTTAGGAGGAAGAGTTAGCTAGACAAGGAGCAGAGCTGACAAGAGCAGAGGAGACTATCAGGAGAGAACTGCAGCAACTGAGACAGAAGGTAAAACTATTATATAGCATCCCTGCTAATGTGAACGTACAACTTCAGGAAGAAGAGCTCCAATCCAGTGAGAGAGAGAAACAGACAGTCAGACAACAGCTCATCAGCTCACAGAGACGGGTTAGTCTAGTCTGTGGAACTAATGTAGTGTAACGAGGTCCTCCTGACTGCAGGAGACTGAGTTAGTGCAGGCCAAGGACAGGGAGCTAAGAGAGAAGGTGTCATTGCTAACAAGGAAGGAGAGAGAGTTAGCTGAGACTCAGCACCAACTGAGACAGAAGGTGAATAGTGATAACTGCAGGATGTGTCATGTTTTGTGACTAGAGGTCTCCTGACTGCAGGAGGAACAGCTGCGATCAAGTGAGGCTCTAGTGGCTGACTTCCAGAAGACCCTCCAGCAGAGAGACTCAGAGCCAACTCAGAGGACAAAGGTCAGTCTTACTGGCTGTGAATAATTTACTCCACACATTCCTCTCAGACTCAGTCTGGTTGTCTAGCAACAGCTGTATAATACCTCAACCTGTAATCATTTACCTTCTGACTTGTGTATATACTTCCAACGATCTTAGATATTAACTCTTTATCCACTGCCTGTGAATATTGCTATTTGTTACTCCACCCTCCCAGACCCAGTCTAGTCTTCTACCAACAGCTGTACCACATTCCACACAAGTCAATATTAAACCCAGAAAGGTTTGTACATTAAATATTTGTTCCACTTTCACTATCATGCAGGAGCTAACGATGCCTTTTAATATGTCACACAAATATGCAAAAGTGAAAAAATTAATTTTGGGATATGGTGAATGGTGATCGATCGAAATTGAAGCCATGCCTATTAATTAATTTTTGATTTTTAAAAACAATGTTTAATTATTATGTGAGTCATGTTACGGATATCGTTCATGATTATGATGTCATTACATGTCATGTGATCTCCCCTCAGCTCACTGTGCAGTGTCATCGTAAGAAGACAGCACCATGTAGAATGGCCAGAGGATCTTCAACAACTGATGGTCGATTTGCATACTTCACCCCACGTGACTCCAACTCAGTCTACCAATATGAATGTAGTACAGAGAAATGGGAGGAACTTCCTTCATGTCCATATCACAACTCTGGACTAGTCATCATTGACAGGGAACTAACTGCTGTGGGGGGAGAGGATGGATCTCGTTTACTAACAAACTATACACACTACGACAGAGGAAATGGGTTGAGAAATACCCTCCAATGAACACTGCACGTTCCGACACTGCTGTAGTTAGTACATCTGATGGCGAATACCTCATTGTGATTGGGGGTGTTGGTGGTGTTAGTTGGACTGCTACAGTTGAACTATTTCAAGTGAAGAGCAGAAGATGGTACCAACTAACAGACTTACCACAACCTCTCACCCTCCCTTCAGCCACAATATGTGGTGATCTAGTACATGTGGTAGGAGATGGTGATGACGGCTACTCGTGTTCTCTTGCAGCTCTACCATCCAGTGACAAACCAATCCCACCACAGTCAATACCACACCTCATATCATGGAAACCTCTCCCTCCTCTACCAGTGACACTCAACAGCTGCCACTCTCTGTGGACAGCTAGTACTCATTGGTGGCAGTCGATCTGGGTCACCAGTCAACTCCATTCACCAGCTAGTGGATGGACAGTGGGTGGAGATTGGCTCTATGACTAGTGGTAGGTACTGCTGTTTAGTAGCCAGTCCATCACCTGACAAGATCATCATAGTGGGTGGAGTTTGGAGCAGAGGACAGTGTTGAAGAATGTGTTGTTGTTTAGTTACAAGTACGCTTTTTTTGTAATACTCATTGTACAGTATAATTATAACCAGATGTGATTATGCGCAGGCTGTTACAATAATAATTCTGCCGTAATTTCCTATTCTCTGCACACAAAATAAGTGGTATGAATATTACTTGTTTGAAGATTGGTTAAATAAGCAGAATTTTATATAAAGTATTATAACCCCCATATAAATTCTTATTGACTTACGGAGGCTCTGGACACATTTATGTGCCCGTGGCTGGTTAAGTGTTAATGCTATATCCTGACATCTGCTGGAAATTAGAGAAGAAGAAGATGAACAAAACTCCCTATCATAACTCCATACATCTATGATGCTAGGTACCATGCCCATCCCTATAATATACTAAGTACTACTGTACTTAGTGATACCGGCCAACAATATTGCATAATTATGGTTGTGTTGTTATAATACACACACCATCATCACAATAGTCATTATACAATAGTCACGATGCGTGTGAAGCTGACACACTGGTCTAATCAAGAGAGATGGAATGATGTCACGATGATGTCATTGTTAATTGGTCGGAGGAGGAGGAGGAGGGTCTGCTGAGTCAGCAGTCTCCATTGGAACATCAGAAGTCTCCTCTGCAGTGGGTGGGGTCTGTCAGGGAGAAAAATGAACATATTCTCACTCTCTCTCTCTCCTCGCTCAGAATTATATGCACACGTTGTATTATCTCGAATGGGGACACATGAAAGTCGCAAAAACCTTTTGCAAATTAACTGCCTACATCTGTCGGAGAGAGAAGAGAAGAGAGAGAGAGAGAGAGGGAGAGAGAGAGAGAGAGAGAGAGAGAGTCCACATTTCAGACACATTACGTAATGCACTGAGCCATATTATTCACCCACCTCTCCTCCTCCTCCTCCTCTTCCTCTCTCATCTTCTCCAACCTCGAGGAGCGTACAACAGAATGTAGGCCACGTGCCAATCGCCACCTCCAGACAGCTTCAGTATCTGGTCCTCCGTCACCAAGGTAACCTTGTCGTCGTCCAGCTTCGCCCACTCACCTTACAGGGGCATTACATCATGATTACATCATATGGTTTAAATAGTATGACATCATAATTCCGTCATACCTTGCCTTAACCTGTATTACATCATAATGACTTCATTCAAAGAGACCTATTTTGGTAAAGTCACTCTCAAGCAAATTAATGTCACAAACCAAGGGAATATGAGAGTAAAATAGAGTCATAGTCATGTGATAGTCACGTGACTCACCGTTCTTGAGGGCCACCCAGCCGACGTAGTGACCAGATGATGAAGACCTTCCCTTCGTGCGTCAGGACGGCCGCTAGCTCGTAGTATCCACTGTTATTACTGCCTACATCTGTCGGAGGAGAGAGAGAGAGAGAGAGAGAGAGAGAGAGAGAGAGAGAGAGAGAGAGAGAGGGAGAGAGGAGAGAGATGAGATCAGAGAGAGAGAGAGAGAGAGGAGAGATGAGAGAAGAGAGAGAGAGAAGTCCACATTTAAATTTCAGACACAGAGCATTTGTAGCTGGAAGTTTGCCAGGCCCAATTCCTATAGACAAAAAACGGGAGAAATGGAATATTACAAGAGCTAAGACACAATACTGGTTTTTGGTGTACATTCCGTGTATACATTGTAAAGCTTCCAATCCAGGCCTGCATTGTGTTTTTCCTGAAGTGCTTGCACATTCATTAGTGGGTTTGCAGGGTTTTGCAATGTCATAGCGGATTTGTTTTGAGTCAAATCCCTTGCCCCCCCCCCCCCCTGAGCTGCTGATAGTGGTGGTAGCATTATCATAAGCACGATGGTACATTAAACGAACACTTAACCTACTTATGAACATTGTTTTTCGTCTAAAAATACTCTCTTTCTTTCGCTATGGCATGGCATAGCGCACCCCCTCTCTTCCTCCTCTCCTCTCCTCCTGCCATCTCAATACGCGCCCATCCTTCCAACTGGAAAAGGTTCATTTCAACATTCTCATCTTTCATGCCTTTCTTTCTTGGCTATTCTGGGCTGGCTGCTGCAGCTGCCGCTCCTGCATTTGTCGGTCCCATCAGCTGCCCTCGGCTATCAGCTTGGCTTTCTTTCTGAGCCTGAGGGAGGGAGGGAGGTAGAGGGAGGAGAGGGAGAGAATGGAAGGAGGAGGGGAGGGATGGGATTGGAGGGGGGGATTATCTTTCTTTCTCTCTCCTTCCTGCTTTCTTCTTTCTCTCTTTCTTTCTTTTCCTTCGTTCTCGTCTCCCTCCTGCTTTTTTCCTCTTTTCTCTTTCTTGCTTTCCTTCTTTCTTTTTTCCCTCTTTCGCTCTTTCTTCTTCTCCTTTCACCCATCCTCCCTCCTTCTCTCCTCTTCCTCTCCCCCCCCTCTTCCCCTCTACCCCGCCAGTTCATCGGGGGGGTGTTTTTGTGGTATTTTCTGTTTCGAGTTATGTTTTGTTGTTTGTATTAGATTGTCTTGTGTGTTTTGTATGTTGTATGGGTCTGTATTTAGATTTGATAAGTAATTTGATTTTTGTATATTTAGTAGTTATTAAAAATGATAAATAGTGATTTAATAATAATGTGTTTACTTGACGTCCTGTGAGGAGAGAGAGAGAGATGAACACGGACATTAGCCAGTTCAATTGCACTTCATCTGAATAGGAACACAATTGAATGCGTCAGAGCCAGAGTGAGCCAACTCTCAATATACAACTCTTGCCAGTTTTTGTTCTATAAGGACATTTAGAACATATTTGAAGGAAAACCAGCAAGAGTTGTATATTGGAGGGTTGGCTCACTCTGACCCCTTCAATTATTATGATCATCTGAACAGGCACATAAAATGTGCATTTGTTCAATTTGCACGTTGCATCCTCTCGTGTCACTAGACAAAGGAATATGTGTAAACCAACATATGTGTACCTTCAGGATCTTCCTAGCAACCATTTCCCCACTGTCGGGGGCCACGCCCACCGAGAACCGGACAAACTGGACTGTCAGGTATCCCGGGAGACGACTCAGCGGCGACGTCTTCTTGAAGTCCGCGTCTCTTCCCAGAACTGCAGACTCTTCTTCACCGTCCCCTCCATTTCCTGGGAGAGAGGGCACTTTCCTGCTCTCCTTATTCTTTAGTGCATTATTTGACTACGACCTCTCTACAAGGGACAAAATCTCTGCCGCCATAGTGTCCCTTGTTCGGAGGTTCCAATATACATCATTCCCATTACTAACCTTCCTCATAGCGGTGTACATGTACTTCACATCCTGAGCAATAAAACACGACACTTGGTAGCTAGTTTCCGTCTCCGTGGTGACCGGTTCGTCTGGACACTCCTCGCATTTGTACGTCGACTTTGTCTCCACCCCTGTTACCAACGGCAACGTAAACCGACCAATCAGATCACGGGTAAAACTGGAGTAAAAATGTCTTACCAAAGTACTGCTTGATAAAGGCATTCCTTCCACCCGTCGCTCCCTATATAATACAAACATAATCATTTTAAAGTGATGTTAATCTTGTCAGACTAGACAATCGTAAGAGAAATATGAACTACTCGGTCAGTCAGGATTGTAGTAGTATATATAGTATATATGTAAGAGATAATGTGCGCTGTATGGGTCTCGAGACCACAACCCGAGTTCCCATAAATCACGTATAGAACGATAGGACGCACATTATGTCGTTTTATTGTGACTTTGTAGCAGTCGTCGACCTCCAGCGAGAGAAATACGACTGCGTAGCCTACCCACGTGCGCTCTCGCTGGCTTCTCGAGCGAGTTCTCTGAAAATTAAGTTTTTGTGGTTTTCCCCAAAAACTTAATTTTCACATTCCAGCCATATAGGTCCCTTTTCCCATACACCCTCATATATATATATACCAGTGCAATATACAGTATAATTATTACTTACACAGGTATATACAGTAAACACGTGTAAAAACCTGATTGGTTGACGGAGGAGGAGGGATGCCAGGTACCCTGAGAGTCTCAGATAGGTTATTGACCATGGCCGACCAACACTCGTGAGCATCCTGCTGCTTGTAGGATCCTGTGGGGAGTCATGTGATTATCACGTGATCAATCCAACAATCATGTGCAGGTCATGTGACTAGAAAAGATTCTCATAACTAGGTGTCCTTATTTACTCCAGAGTTCTTTCAGAGGTTCCCATGGAGTCCATTGATCACGTGATCAAACACCTAATCACGTGACCACACCCCCAGTCACGTGACCACACCCACTCACCTGTCTTCTCGTCCTTGTGTGCAAACTCTGGTTTAACGGCGTGGAGGGTATGAAGAAACAGCATGGAGGGAATTCGTATGTCCTGGCCTGATTCCATCATCAGATACAGCATCTTCAGGTCTGTAGGGAAGAGATGGAGGTCATGTGATGTCATGTGATCCAACGAAACACTAACTCTGCATTATATACAGTGGAACCCCCTGAAATGAGGACACCTCACTAATAAGGACCTTTTCTTTCCTCAAGAACAGTTCAACCCCTGAAATAAGGACACCTCATTAATATGGACAATATCTTCGACTGGTGTCGGGATTATTCTAATTTTAACCCTTCACGTACTCATTTTAACCCTCCACACACACAAATTTTAACCCTTCCACATACTCATTTTAACCCCTTCACCTCTGGTGAGAGACTGAGGCGATGCAGTGTCGGTGTCCATAAGCTCAGCCCTGGTAGCCGGGACGTGGTAGCTGCCCAGAGCCGACCTCAGCTCGGGAACAACCTTCAGACATTGCAGGGTGGCGTTCAGGTAGCACGTGTTGCCGAAATTCTCTATCCCGGTCGGCAGGGACAGCTGAAGAAGGGATAGACGGAAGGAGAAATGAAATTGAAAACATAAACAACGAAACGAGACAAAAATGGACACAAAAATCACAGAGTTAGAGAAACGAAAGTGTGATTACACAGCTGTAAAAGACAACTGAGTAGTTTTTCACCATAAAAGGGGGTCAACATACGAGTATCGAGTCTTAAAATGAAAATGAAACTTAACCCCTCACGAATGCAACGTGAACGCAATTTAACCCTCTACTCACGGCAGCGGCTGCCTCGGTATCAGTCATGTCTTCGAGAAACTTTGTCTTCTGTTTCGGAGCCTCGGGGAGGCTGTCGGCCGAGCCCATCATCATGAACGTGGCGTTGTTTTTCACTTTTGATTTGGTGTTTGACCACTCCTCGTCGCCTAGTATCAGTCCTCCTATCATCAGCCTCTGTCTCTCTGGCGGAACTCCTTGGGGAGGGATAGAACGGGGGGGAGGGAGCAACGACAATGGTGGAATGAGTGTTTTTAGAGGAGAAGATGAGGAGGAGAAGAGAGAGAGAGAGGCAGGAAAGAGAGCAGAGTAACAGGTTGAACGAAAAGCACTTGAAAGTGGAAGGAAACTTGGTGGAATAAAGTGTTGGCGCAATCACAATGAAGGCAAGACTGAAAGGTGAAGAATGAAGAAAGTCAGCAAGTCGGGCAGGTTCAAAAGGAAGGGAAGAGGCAAAGAAGAGTTAACTAACAGTCGATGGCTAACCGGTGAGAGAGAAGAGCTGGGATTTGAAGACGGCCGGAGGCTCAGCCAAGTCGACCTCAATTTTCTCATATTTCTTCTTTCCCCACTTCACGTTCACTGGAGATCCAAGAGAGTATCATAGAGCTTCTTACGATACACAAGTACTGCCCGTCTACCTTTGACAGTTGACATCTGACCAACACCGCTGAATATCAACGTTGAAACGAGGAGAGCAAAACGATGACGAAGAGCGACGGAGATCTAAGCCACGCCCACTACCGCATGCGCGCGCGTGCTGGGTTCAAAGTTCGAACTTGACGCATGCGCAGTTTGCCACAAACGTGCGCGAGCTCGATCAAGAAGCTCCTGGCTTTGTTTTCGCTGATGTCGGGGGGAGAGAAGATAGTCGAGTGTGTCCCCAACTTCTCCGAGGGCCGGCGTGCCGACGTGGTGGAGGCTATAGCGGCTGCAGTCAGGGAAACGGAAGGATGCTCCCTGCTCGACGTAGCCCCGGGGGACTCCACTAACCGGACAGTCTACACGTTTGTCGGACGTCCGGAATCAGTGCTGGAGGGAGCGCTTGCCGCCGCGCGCGTCGCCTTCAAGCTCATTGATATGACCAAACAAAAGGGTGAGTTGGTTCTGAAAAATGTTAGCTAGAACCCTAATAGTAAGTCGATAGCTAACATACTCTTTTCTCTATTGCTGTACATATGTAGGTCTGTTCATTGGTAGGAACACAATAGGTACACGTGTTGCAGTGCAGCGTGTGAACGCTCAGTGTGTTTTTCAGACAGTAGCCATAGCTACATAACATACACCGTTTTCTATTGACATGATATTTCACTAGAATTAAGACAAAAATATGATTGGAATCTGGCGAAATATTTGTACTAATATATCCATCCTTTGGTTGCCATGTTCTCAGGTGAACATCCAAGACTCGGTGCTCTAGACGTCTGTCCCTTCATCCCCGTTGCCAACGTTACCATGGAGGAATGTGCCGAGTTGTCACGGAGATTCGGGTGTCGCCTGGCAACGGAGCTGAGCGTCCCGGTCTACCTGTACGAGTACGCGGTTGCCGTGGGAAACGATCGCGACTATCGACGAACTCTCCCTCAGATTAGAGAAGGAGAGTATGAGAGACTCCGGAATAAGGTGAATATATTAAATCATGTTTTACTTTCAGAAGTGATAAACCCCTCAAATGGACACGTTCTTCTGTCTATAATAATCACATCTTTTATTTATGAGCACAGCAACGTTTGCCGCATCTCTCTTCTTGCCGTTCCACCAGATACAAAAACCAGAGTGGGCTCCCGATTTTGGACCGGCTGATTACATTCCGTCGTGGGGTGCCACGGTAACTGGGGCGCGGTCTTTCCTCATCGCGTACAACGTGAATCTCCTGGCAACCAAGGAGCAAGCCCACCGCATCGCTCTCAACATTAGAGAACAGGGGCGAGGTCCTAGTCAGGTAGGGAAAGAGTTAACCCCTCCCTCCCTCCCCTCCCTCCTCTCCCCTCCTTCCCTCCCTCCCTAGCCAGGAAGACTGAAGGCAGTGAAGGCCATTGGGTGGTATCTTGATGACCAAGACTTGGCCCAAGTCTCTATCAACATATGTGACTTCCAAACCACACCCCTTCATGTTGTCTTTGAGGAAGTATGCAAGGATGCTAAGGTAGTGAAATCACCTCTCTAAGGACACCTCTCTAGGACACCCCTGAAATGAGGACACCTCTCTAATGACACCCCTTAAATGAGCACACTCTCTAGAATGACTCCCTGACAATGAGGACACCCTCTATGACACACCTTAATGAGGCAGCCTCTCAATGAAAAACCTGTGACTGAAATGGGGACACCTCTCTATGACACCCCTGAAATTAACACCTCTCTACTAAGGACCATTTTTCTCCCAAGATCAGTTCTTGCTTGCAATTCACACCTCTCTATTATGGAAACATTGGTATCATCATCAGGAGTTTTTTCATCTTTCCATTGTCATTCTAATAATTAATGTATCTATGTCTATACACAGGAGCTAATGCTGCAGTGACGGGGTCAGAGTCTTCGGTGGGGGGGGGGGTCCTCGGGGGGGGGGGTGGGTCCTGTTGTGGGGAAGGTGGGTGGGTTTTTTTTCATTTTTTTTTTTTAATTGTCTCCCCGCCTCCTTGTGTATGTTTCGTGTGTGGAGTCCGGGGTTGTTTGTCGGTATTGTTCTTGTTTTTTTTATTTTTTCCCTTACGTTTCTTTCTCTACTATTATTTTTTTATTTATTGTTTCTCATTGTTAATTCATTTTTTGTGTTTTCGCCACTTAATAGGGATTTTTATTGGTTTCTGTTTTTCATGTTGGGAACTTAAGTTATTTTTTATTTTTTTTGTTGATTTGATATGATTTTAATTTTTGCCTTTGTTTGTTTTTTTTCTCTTTTATTATTTTGGGTCTTGTTCAGCGGGGGTGGTCCTCACCGGGTCGGGTGGGTCGGGAGGTGTCGTGTTTTGTGGGGGGGTGTGGGCTTGTTTCCCCATTCCTGTGTTCCGCCGGTTCCCTGTTTTTGTGTCTTTGTCCAGTTTTTTGTTTGTTTTTTATTTTTTTTTGTTGTGTTCACACCCTTTTTGTGTATCCTTTTTTTATATTTTCTTATGGTTGTTCCATTCCCCCAACCCTTGGGGACTTTTGTTTTCTTTTTCTTTAAAGGTGGTTTTTTTTTATTGTTTTGGTTATTTGTTGTGTCTTTTGTTGTTTTTCTATTCTTTTGCTTTTTTGTTTTGTTGTGATTTTTACGATTCATTTTTTTCTTATTTTTCCCCCGCCACCCCCCCAATGTGACCCCTTTTTTTTATTTTGTATTTTATATTATATCTTTACTAAGTTTTCTTTAGTTGTTTTTCTTATTATGTCGGTCATTTCCCCCCCCGGTCCCCCTATCCTCGTCAAAAGTGTTGAGGATTATACTTCTATCGGTAGTTCTTTTTTTTTTATTTTGACTAGTTGTTTGGTACCTTGTGGGAACTTTGTTTTCAATGTTTCTAGTTTTGTATAGTGTGTAGGTGTACGTTTTCTTATTTTCTTTTTAGTAATAGTGTTAGCTCATTTTTAGTCCTTTATAATGGACGGAAGATTTTTACCCACTGGTGGGTGGAGGGATAGGGCGGATTTTTGTTCTTTTTTGTTTTGATTAATTCAATGTTTTCCCCGCTTTTTTTGTTGTGTGGTGTTTGTTTTTGTTTAGCGGTGGGTGGTGTCGTCCCCTCCCCGTCCGTCCCGGGGTAGGGGGGGGGGAGGTGTTTGTTTGTTTCGCCCCGGTGTGGGTTGTTATTTTTCTTTTTATTCACATTCTTTTTTTTTTTCTTTTTTTTGTTTTTTTTTTGTATTTTTTTGTGTTTGCTTTTTATTTTGTTTCCCCCCTCTCCTCCTCTGGCGGCTATTGCAGCTGCCGAGTTCTACATCCAGAGAGAGGGACTGTTCCTGATGGAGGAGAGGCAGAAGGTTCGACTGGCTGTGGAGAGATTGGGCCTCGCTTCTCTCGGAGAGTTTAAACCTGAGGAGAAGATCATTGAGTGAGTCTTGATTATAGTTGCTCTAAGGACACCTGAATGAAGACACCTCTCTAAGGACACCCCTGAAATGATGACACCTCTCTAAGGAACAACCCCTGAAATGAGGACACCTCTCTCCTAACAGGACACCTTTTTCCTTCTTTCCGCCAAGAAAGCAGTTCTGCATGCAATTCAACGCCTGAAATGAGGACACCTCACTAACAAGGACACTTTCTCTTTTTCTTTGCCACATATCTCATTCCGAGGGAGCAGATAAAGAATTAGTAGTAATAGATGCCATTTTCTCCTCTCTCTCTTCTCCCTGTCAGGTACCGAGTGGGCAGTTGCAAGGACGGTCCTCTCCTCTCTTCATCTCTCAGAGCGTTCCTGTCCAGTCTCTCCGCCAGGACATCGGCCCCCGGTGGAGGTCTGCCAGCGTCGTAGCTGCCTCCATGGTAACCTGGATTAGGCTGAGTTCACGGGGTCAGAGGTTGACTTCACGATACGTCGCATTGCCCCATCGTTCCACTTCACATCCTGCCGCGAAGATTCTAAGATTCTATCCTCGCGACACGTGGGGCAATGCGACATATTGTGAACCTCGCCTAATACAGTAGAACTGCGAACAAGGGACACTATGGGACCAACGGTTTTTTATCAGAACTTCCACTGTAGATCCTTAACCCAAATATAACGTGTGCTTGTTAATGTACAGGGAGCAGCGCTGGGTACCATGGTAGGACTGCTGACGTATGGGAAGAAAAAGTACGAAGATCTCGATGATGTAATGCGAAAGACGATTGGTCCTCTCCATGACAACCTGCAGAAGATGATGCCGTTGGTTGACAGGGACAGCGAAGCCTTTGCTGAGTATATGGTGAGCAGAAGAGGCTTTCTCAGAGAGAGAGAGAAACAGGTTTTCCATCTACTGATTGCAGATGGCATCGAAACTGCCTCAAAAGACTGAAGAAGAGAAGAAGATGTAAGTTCACGTCATTTTGTATATATTGTACCTAATGTCTGTGGGCCTTAACAGGTGCCTTGATCCCTCCTCTCCCTCCTTCCTGCCCCGAGAAAACGCTATTCATGATTTTGAAACGCAACCTGTGCTTTTGCTGTGTTGAGCACATATCTGTTTCGGGTTCAGTTGCGCTATATGCAATATTAGTTGGGATCGTGGATTATGGAAAATGTAGTGCATTGTTTGTTACCCTGCATTCCGTTGTACGTCATGATATGTACGTCTCACCTCTCTCCTCCCGCCCTCTCTCCCAACTAGACGAGATGAAAAGATGGCGGCAGGTATGAGGACAGCTGTTTCAGTCCCCCTCTCTCTCGTGAGGGCAGGGTGCGAGTGTTGGCCACACCTACTCACACTGGCTACCCACGGCAACATACAGACCATGTGCGATCTAAGAGTAAGTTGGAACCGGATCAGGTGGGCCAAACCGTCAATTAGGTCATTATCCCAGTAATGAAGTAATGAAGCTAATGGCACGTGTTTATGGCTACTGAAAAAGGACTCCTCCCTATAAAGGACACTTGGTTGTGGCCCATACAGTGGAACCTCGTTAATACGAACACTGTTAAAGCGAAATACCTGGCTAATACGAACCACTTTGAGACATTATAACACTAGTACAACTAGCTACTGTTATAATAGTGAAATTCCTTTTAATTATGAACATTTTTTTGACGGTCCCCTGAACGAGAGGTTCCACTGTACTATCATGTAAAGGACACTTTGAATGTGTTCCCCCTCTTCAGAGATTTTGCTGGTGCAACTTTCTCTTCCCTCCGCTAGGTGGCCTGTCGTACTCTGGACGCTGGTATCCATGGCGCCCACGACAACATCCTCACCAATCTCCCCAGCCTCACAACTAGCGACGCCGACTTTGCCGCCTCGGTGCGAGAGGAGGGAGAGAGGCTTGCCGGTTACAGCACCAAGTTGTGCGCTTCAGTTCTCGCCTCCATTGACGAGAGAGAAAAGGAGGGATCGTAAAAATGACTATTATTATATATATACCACTCGCTCGCTGTTATATAAACTGAAGATAACCCCCATTTGATAATTAGTTAATATTTGCACAATGAGGATGATGTAATGAATAATACTCAGGTGGTTGCCATAGTGCTAGCTGGGGCCATAGACCAAATGATGATGTAATGAAATTAGGAAGAGTGTGTGATATTTTAGTTCGTCTTCTTCTTCTGCTGGTGACTGGTGGCTGACCGGCCATAGTAGAAACATTGTACCACGACAGTCAGATTGAGGAACAACGACAGAACGAACATGAAGAAGACTGAGAGGAGAGAGAGAGAGAAATGGCAGGGAAGAAAGGAACAGAAAGGGGAGAGGGTAAGGGAGGGAGGGAGAGAGATATTGATGACAACATTACAATTTTCCAAACTTACTTTGGAGGTCTTTAACTTCCACGGCGATTGTAAATAGACGGGCTAATGTACAGAGAGAGAAATTGAGAGGATTTGCTTGTAACGTAGAGAGAGAGAAAAACAACAGAATTGGATTAACTCACAAACGAAGACATTACGTAATGGTGAATACTGATGATGTCTTACCAGCAGAGGCGTACGAAGAAAGGACAAACATAGAGATGCTGACATCTCCGACCGACTTGAGGCGATAGAGACTGTAGATCTGCGTACCTCTACTGGCTATCAGGAGCGGTACTGTGGCCGCCTGGTGAGAGAGAGGGAGGGAGGAGAGGAGGAAAGAGGAGTGTGTGTGAGTGTGTGTGTGTGTGAGGGGGAGGAGAAAGAGACAGTGACACATTTTCCCAACCTTTGATCTTTATGTCACCACAATGCCCGTAAAATCAACACAAACCGACACACTTCTAACACTCCCTTTTCCTTTCAAATAAACATCTCACACATCTTTCTCTCGAAGGTGAAGTGTGCAATGTATTATGACACGTGCCGCTATATACCTTTCATCTCTAGTATAATTATAAAGCCACACAGTATTTCACCTCCAGTATATATACAATGGACGTCCTATGTATATATACTGTATGCCTACCAGCAATAGAGAGATGATGTATGCAGGGATTGACTTGGTAACTATGGCAGCGATGAAGGCGCCGTTGGCAACAAACCACGCCCCATTCTCGAGGCTCCAATCACCGCTGTATTTGACGCTCAGGTAGACTATCACGTAACTCTGGAGAGCCAGGAGAATGGCCTCTCCATATGTCGTCACGTGGATGTCGTAGAAATAGCCGTGTGCCACTCCTATTTCACAACTGTCCAGAGAGAGAGAGAGAGTGAGAGAGAGAGAGAGAGGAGAGAGAGAGCGAGAGCGAGAAGGAGTGAGAGGTGTAAAGGAGAGAGAGAGGAGAGTAGATAAGTGAGAGATTGAGAGATGATTGAGAGAGAAATGGAAGTGTACTGGCACGAGAAAATGAGTTAATGTTGCACCTTTTTTAGTAAGTGACAACCTCTGTAAAAAAAATGCAAGCTAAATTTTTTGAGGGTACATTTTGCATTGCTCTAATTAACCGCATTCCCCTGTGATGCTAAATTAGCACACGTGGTATACCTGAGCTGTGTGGGTTCGACGAAGGAAGTCGGCATACCATCTGATCTCAGCCAGTAGCCGCGTGCGCTAGCCTCCCTCGGCTGCTCCTCGACGAGTAGTAGAGCGCGCCGGATCTGCGGGACCACTTCGTGAAGACACTCAGAAAGATGACCGCCGAATAGCTCAGACATACGGCCTGAGAACGACCCGAAACGTCGCCATTTCGCTCCATTCTCGCAATCTAGTAGAGGGTCAAGGGTATCTTCCTCTTTAGTGATCTCGCGCGCGGCCTTCGCTCACTATAACCACGCCCATGTGTATATTTGCGCATGCGCATTACGAGCTCGAACTGTGGTTCGCCTTTCCGTTTCTGGTGAGAGACGAAAGAGACGAAAGAGAAAGAGCCGGAAGCTCTCCATTTGTGCGAGTGGCGGCCCATCCTCTAGCACCGTTTCACTCGACTGCGCTCCCTTCTGTGATCGAGTGTCGTTGCCGAGTCGCTAGGTGAGAGAGACAGAAAGGCGGGGGTCAGGTTGAGTAGCCGAAGAGGTTTTTTTTTGTGCGTGTCTGGAGAGAAGCAAGCAGGGGCCGCTCGTGTGTGGAGAGACACTGAGAGAGGTGAGGATGTGGGGGTGTTATTTCGGGCGGGGATTTAGGCGGGTGCTAGGGACAGAAGAGCGGGAAAGGACGGGGTGTGAGCCTGTGTATGTAGCTGTTCGTTGGGGGGCGTGCAGGGCAGCGTGTTGACTTTGTTTGCACTGACGGTATGTTTGTATATTCTGCTCTCTCTCTGCCTTCGAGTTGCTATGCAAGTTCTCTTGCCCTTTGTCTGCCACTCGGCCACTTTCTCTTTTCCCGTGGGTTTGTATTTTCACTTCCTTCCACCCACCTCCCCTCTCGTGTCCCTCCCTTCCCCCACCCTCAGTTAGAAAGGGACAGTCCGTTATGGAAACCGTAATGAGTTTTCACCTAATGAATTTAAATTTAATCATCTCCCTACATTCCTGATGTGCATTTCATCATCTCCCACCATACATTTCATTCCTGATGTGCATTCCTCTGAAACTGATAAGCATGGAAGGGGAGGTGGTTAGAACTAATCTGTTCAAAATGAGAGAGGAGAAATAGAAGGAGGGAGAGGGGAGAGGGGAAAGGGGGGTTTTACTCCAGGAAAACAGGAAACAAGCATCGAAATATTCTCGGAATTTCGTGATATTTTTTCAGTTGAATGTTTTGTCTACTTTGTTGAAACGACAACACACACACTCACACACTCACACACTCACACACACACACACATGCACACACACACATACACACCTCCAAATGTGGCAATGCAGCCTCACACTTTTACCGTCGATTCTATTTACATTTTGATGCTACAACTTGTACATGTAACTATATACATACGTGTGTGTACTTTTAGATTTCTATTTTCTTTCTTTCCTTTCGTTTCTGAGTAGATACAGCGATAAATATGTGAGAAATGCTGTAATTGTATTTCCGTCCTTCCACTGTGTCATATTTGATGATTTAGCCCCTCCTAATAGCTGTGTCAGTAGAGGCATTACCCAATACACCTCGGCCGTAGCTCGACGATGTAATCACAGCTCGTTATGACATCATTCTGTGGCAGAATTACACGTCCTCTCGTGGGGTTATAATCCTTCAGGTGCTCATTATCGTAAGGGGTGTGTGGCTAAATGGGAAAGAGAGAGAAGTAGCGAAGTCTTGCAGTATCTCGCATGCAGTTTAACCCGTGAAATAACGACACCTCGCTGATAATATAGACACTTTCTTCAGTCCAATTGGTGTCCAGATTAAAAAGGGGTCTTCTCTGCACTCTAGTTTATGATGGCACATTCGTAGAATTCAATACATTAAGTGTGTGTGTCCATACGGGTGTGCAGTTTGTGTTTTAAAGCAGTTAAGAGACCACAACAGGTCCTCGTTAGCAGTGTAACGACCGTTTGCTGGATGCCAACCGAAGATGTCTGCGTGAACATATCGTTTGGCAGCCTCAGAGACAATTATACTGCGTGTGTTAAAGTTTACTGCTTTTTGGCAGTATTTGAGGCCAGTTAAGTGAGGTAAAGAGCGTAATGCCGGCTGCGGTAGTCGATTCATTGGCCGTTTTAGAGAAGTTATTTGGCCACAGCACATGTCAGTGGTGTTATCATCTAGTAATAAGTGGCCCCCTATCTCTTGCTACCCTCTTTTTCCCTGTAAAGGTTAGCTGTTGTTGTTTTGATGAAACGTCAACCATTGCGTCTTCTGTCTTCGGTCCCCTTTCTTGTCTCTCAACTCATCTCCCCCCTCTCCCCCTCTTCCCCTCTCCCCATCTCCCCCTCTCTCCCTCTCCTCTCTCTCCTCTCTCTCTCACACACATACTATATACTCTCTCTCTCCCCTCTCTCTCCCCCTCTCCCCCTCACACACACACAGAAAATGGGCAAGACGAACAGCAAACTGAGACCGGAGGTCATCCAAGATTTAGTCCAGTCCACGGAATTCACTGAACACGAGCTCCAGGAGTGGTACAAGGGGTTCCTCAAGGATTGCCCCAACGGCCATCTCACCGTGGACGAATTCAAAAACATCTATTCAAGCTTTTTCCCGCACGGTGACGCTTCGAAGTTTGCCGAGCACGTGTTTCGTACCTTTGACGCTAACCACGATGGGACGATCGACTTTAGAGAGTTCATCTGCGCGCTCTCCGTGACCTCTCGCGGGAAACTCGAAGACAAGCTGCGCTGGGCGTTCAACATGTACGATCTGGATGGAAACGGATTCATCACGAAGCAAGAGATGTTGGAAATCGTCCGGGCGATCTACAGGATGGTCGGCACGGTGATGAAGATGCCAGAGGACGAATCAACGCCCGAGAAAAGAACGGAGAAGATTTTCCGACAGATGGACGCCAACAAGGACGGGAGGCTCTCGCTGCAGGAGTTCATCGACGGAGCCAAAACTGACCCGTCCATCGTTCGGTTGCTGCAGTGCGACCCGAGCATAGGTGGTGGAGGAATGGGTGCCGAACCCAATTAGTGCACACCACTCTTCCCTATACCGGTACCATCCACCCTGCCCTCGTAACTTTAACCCTTTTCTCACACCCCATTTGATGATATACATGTAGCATCGTCGTCGTCGTCGTCTTCGTCATTTGCGTGCCGCCGCGCATCGCTATGGCGGCACAATTTAGCCGATAATGATATTCTGTATGTGTTTGTGTATGTGTCTATAAGAGACTGCACAGTTATATATATACTCTACAATGCACACACATGCAAGCACTCTAATGAATTTAGATGATATTTCTATTGATTATTCATTGTTAAGAAAAATTAAAGAGACGGAAATAAAATTTTACAGCCATGACTAAATTGCGGAACACAAGGCTATTTATTTTATCCTTCCACAAGTGACTGATATGTATATAATTATACATTACAGAACTCACTCTTCTAATGCTTGGCTGGATGAAAGATGAGTCTATATTATACTGCTGCCAGGGGAAATATGATATATAAAAACCAGTAGATGTATAATATTATTATTATAGATGTGAGAGAACTGATCTATTTGTATGAAAATTTGTTCTTTGTCATTCGTCTGCCCATTGATTATGTCCATTTGGAGGTGAAAATCTCCGCGTGGTCTCTCTAGCTTGCCGGTCATTGGAGCACAGCGTGAGTGCTGAGCTCCGTTTGGAGTTCCTGGAATTGAACCTCTGCATCAGCTGGCTCTGGAAGGACCCGCCCCCCACCAGGATCATGTGACCTGCACGTGACATCACCGCCATCTCCACGGCAGCGACGAAGCCCCGGTCGGCCGGCAGGTCGTACTTTGCCGGGGAGAAATGGGTGAGACGGAAATTGTACTTTTGCGCGAGTCTTTCCATTCTCACAACAGCCGAACATTGCTTGCAAGTCTCGCTGCCGAATGCTCCTATGTCCGCAAAATAGAGAACTTTGAGTTTCTGATTTCTGAGACCGTCGACGACAACAATTTCATTTTTCTTTCGTAGAGCTTCGTTTACACAGTTTGATAGTAACCGTGGGAAACGCGACTCTCGAAAAACGAGTTTCTCGCTGCGAAAGTGAACCACTAGGAATTCCCCCTCTCTCGTTCCCAATTCAGTCATGAATCTCCCCGCCACATTCAATACGGAGCTACTGAACCGCACGTTTGAAATTTTCCCGTTGTTTCGTTTGTCGAGGCACCTTTTGTCGGTGACGACGACTCGTTTAGTAGGATGAATTCCTTTACTGGAGTGGGTCAGCGTGGTACCGTTACCAACACCACGCCAATTTACCACGACAATCGAAGCGTTCCCTCTGTCGAATGAAAACTGTCTCCCGAGTTCCTTGGGGTTAAATCCGCGACTGGTACTGATGCACAGGTACGCACGAGTAATGAAGTGAGCCGCCGACTCACTTTGGCCCAGTTGGGAATTCAAATTCGAAGTGACCAATCGGGCGAGATTCATCAGCTCCGGGTACATCGAGCAGTCAACGACACTCGAAGTTTGGAAAGCGTCCCAAATGTGCGCGAACGTTTCCTTTGATTTGATCGCGTACTCCTTGTTCGACACGGCCGAGACAAAGTGGAGGAAAATGAGTTCTCTGTCACCGAAACTTTAACATTTCTGCGAGGGATGCACTCGGTCGAAGACCTGCGTCCATCAGAACTGAGTCCATACTGGTTAGATCCAGAACGAGACCCAGATCGTGCGCGGGGCCGGATTTGTTAAAGTGGTCATCCAGGTACACGTTGGACAGTCCGTAGAGTCGGGAGTGGGCAGTGAACGGCCGCACGGTCCGCGCTCGCCACTCGTCCGCGACGCACGCGAGCGCAAAGTAGTTTCTGAGTGCATTTGAGAACTGTTCCCAGTAGTTCATGCCCAGGAGGTAGCGGTACGTACCGTCTCCCTCGCCCGGCCCAGCAGAGTGTGCGTATAGAACTTCGTTTCCGTCCGAAAAACGAGAGCCGGGTCGTCCCTTGTTAGGACGACTCAGCGACTTGTCAGTCGTGTCTTGAACTACGTCTTTCCCAACGCCGCTCTGTAACCGGACAAGCGTCAGAAAGCATACCAGGACACAGAGGAATACCAGAGATCCTAGTAATGGCCGTCTCCTGCACCCGAGGAGCCCTCTAAGCACCGAAGTGCAGCTCATCTTCAGAGGGCCGGCAACTGCCGAACCGCACACGTTTTGGGGTCAAAGTTGAAACGTTCTACGCATGCGCATGCGCAGTTAGTCCAGCCCACTAATTTAACGCGTGGTGGTGGTGATGCATCGACAGCAGTTTGTCACACAAGAGATGTTGTGAGCGTTTTAGTAACTGTGTATATATATACCTTGTCCAATGCTAAGAGAAAACCAGGCGTGAGAAGCCAGCGAATTCGTTTGTTGAGTTCCGTCGAGGAATCGAGTAGAAAGTTAGAAGACACGGGGAAATTCCGTTTGTGTATCGATGGAAGGTGTTGGGTCCCGTGTTGTTCGCGGTCCCGACTGGCGATGGGAACGCCAGGACGGAGGAGAGGGTCACGTGGGCACGGTGAGGAGCTTCGAGCGGCCCGGGGAGGTGCTGGTTGTCTGGGACAACGGTACGGCCGCCAACTATCGCTGCTCGCCGTGTTTTGACCTGAGGATACTGGATAATGGACCTGCAGGTTAGAGAGATACATAGGAGAGAGGGGGAGAAGGGGAGAGGGAGACGGTGGGGAACGGAAAACAAGGGGGGAGTAGAAGGAGAAGTGAAAAGGGGAGCGGGATGAACTGTAGAAAGATTGCACCGATGTATGTATCTATGTATGTAGCTAAAGGAAGACTTACCCAGAATAAAGAGACAATAGTGCAACATACAAGAAGACCTGTGTGTTCTTTACGTTGGCACAGACAAAAAGAACCGGCAATGAATAGTGCCAGGTTTTCATATCAAGTGTAAGAGTGCACAATAGGCTGGTAGTAGCGTAGTAGGTATATATAGTAGTATTATGGTGTAGTCCTGAATTCTCCACCTCACATTGTGTCCAGCACTCGAGCAAAGAAGGGGCGATTGCTGATGAGCTAGTGAGTTGTTACGATTTTTAAAATATACTACAGTGGATCTCCTCTACTCTAATCCAGACACCAATTGGACCGAAGAGTGTGTCCACATTAGCGAGGTGTCCTTATTTCACTTGGGGGAAGAAAAAGTGTCCCTATTACAGAATTATCCTCATTTCAAGAGTGTCCTAAGAGAGGGGCTCCACTATATGTATGTATGTATGTCTCTGTGTCAGTCTGAGAGCTGTAACCACACATTGTTTTGTATTAGATACTCATATTACACGCCTGATGACACGTTAAGTGAGAAGAACAGACCTAACTCAGTGACCCAGAAAGCTGTGTCTGGGTTGTTGTTGTGGTTCATTGCAGACTTACGTCTACCCACAAAACCACAAAACAGACCACCTCTGTAAGGGCTGCCTTCTAGGGAGTGAAGTTCTTTAGTGGTGGTTAGGAATATCTATTTGTAAAGCCGAACATTTTCAGCAAAATCTCCAGATAATGAGGGCAGGCTGGTATATAGGAAAAGAAATTTCTCCAAGATTTTCTAGTGAATTTGTGTTTTCAAAAGAAACGTTTCTTTTCCGAGCGGATTCTACTGACACGAATTTTTTGGGAGTGTGTTTTCTTGCAAATCACTCTTTCTTGTAATTGTCGGTCTATTTCTCCGTTGGTTTTGTGGTCGCTTTTTGCTAATTATATCTCTAATGATCTCCTAATTACCGCTCATCATCATCTGAAGGTTTTTTGCTATTAACAATCTTTCACTTTAATTAATTTACACAACTCGTAAGATTAAACATGTTCAACTTACAAAACGCGTCCTAAATTTCACTGGGCAATAAATTGTTTATACACATGTCCAAAACTTTATGGAAACACCTATTCCAAGTGCTTTTGCCAAAAGAGCATCGAGTTCTGGCTTTTGGTTTAGCTCCATATATAACCCCCCAGCTAAAAATAGCAGCACGTCGTTAATGTGATTGTCAGGCCTGGTTTATTGGTATGAGTGGAATGTTAATTGATTTTGGCCGGCCTCTTTTGTTTGTGCGTGTGTTGGGCAAACAAATAAATTTTGTGTATCTTGATTGCACTTGTATATAGCTTGTTGCACACTGTGCTCTTATGCCACAGGAGGTTCGATGCAGTCGAACCTCCTGTGGCACTCACACTCGAACCACCGATGCAGTCGAACCACTCCGAACTAGAGTACAACTACCCTACACACCTCGTTCCCCTTGCGAATATCTGTTCGTTAAGGAGAAGGTAAGTACACTCGAACCCACCGATGCCAGTCGAACCACTCTGAACTAGAGTACAAGTACACTACCACCTCGTTCCCACTTGCGAATTGTTCGTAGAGACGTTTCAGTACACTCGAACCACCGATGCAGTCGAACCACTCTGAACTAGAGTACAAGTACCCTACACACCTCGTTCCCCCTTGCGAATCTGTTCGTAGAGAAGGTTCAGTACACTCGAACCACCGATGCAGTCGAACCACTCCGAACTAGAGTACAAGTACCTACACACACTCGTTACCCCCTGCGAATCTGTTCGTAGAGAAGGTTCAGTACACTCGAACCACCGATGCAGTCGACCACTACCGAACTAGAGTAAAGTACCCTACACACTCGTTCCCCTGCGAATCTCGTTCGTAGAGGTTCATACACTCAAACCACCGATGCAGTCGAACCACTCGAAATAGAGTACAAGTACCTACAACTCGTTCCCCGCGATCTGTTGTAGAGAGGTTCATACACCGAACCACGAGCAGTCGAACACTCCGTAGAGTACAAGTACCTACACTCGTTCCCCTGCGAATAGTTCGTAGAGAAGTTCTCGTAGTATTTTGTAAAGGAATAGAATTTGATATACAGTATATGCTGTGGAACATGTGTGTGTGACCCAATCTTGGGGAGACTGATTAGTTCGTTAATGATGTCATCGCAATTCCCCAGACACCATGTGTGCCGATATTCACGATCTGCTATAATAACAATAACAACAACCCGATTCCTGTGGCTTTGATCTGTCCATCATCACCTGCCTCTCCTCTCTCTCCCTCTCTCACCTCTCTTTCTCTCCCTCGCCTCCTCTTCAGGCGACTATGTAGGCTCCCTTAGTAGCTCGCCAATCACAGAATTGTTGTCATTCCAAAAGAAGCCTTCTCTATTTCAGACTAAGTACATAGGTTTTCTTCAATAAATATTTCATTCTCTCTCTCTCTCTCTCTCTCTCTCTCTCTCATCTCCCTCTCTCTCTCTCTCTCTCTCTCTCTCTCCTCCTCTATAAGGTATAAAGCACGATGGAGTGGTGTGTGAGGGTTGCGCCATCTCGCCTCTCTACGGAATAAGGTGGAAATGTGCCGACTGTGCAGATTCCAGTCTCTGCTCCACCTGTTACCACGGCGACAAACACAACCCCCGACACACGTTCCATCGTATAGCCACGCCCTCTTCCCCTCGGTAGGCTGGGTTGTTAAGTAATAAAAGCCTGATGGACGGATAATATAATATCTTATTCATGCATATAATGTATCGTGTCCCTTCGCATATTGTGATGAAATACTCTCTTTACCTCTTTCCCTTCTCCCACCTTCTCTCTATCTCCCTCCCTCCTCACCTCCTCCTCCCCCACCTCCCCCTCCCCACAGTATAACAGTACAGAGTCGTCGGAGGAGCAAGAAGCTGACGGCACGAGGCGCCTTTTCCGGAGCCAGGATAGTCCGTGGCGTGGACTGGAACTGGGACGAACAAGATGGTGGGTGGAACTTTCCCTCTGTGTCACATGACTTTCCCCCTGTGTCACATGATTTCCCCCTGTGTCACATTGACTTTCCCCTGTGTACATGGACTTTCCCCTGTGTCACATGATTTCCCCCTGTGTCACATGACTTTCCCTGTTGTCACATGACTTTCCCCTGGTCACATGACTTTCACCCTGTGTCACATGACTTTACCCTGTGTCACATGACTATCAGGTGGGTCTGGGAACAAGGGTAAAGTGCTGCAGATCCAGGATGTGACATCGACTGCTCCTCGCAGTGCGGCCTACGTCGTCTGGGACACGGGGGTAAAACCTCGACCTCTATCGCCTTGGCTACGAGGGAGTGGTAAGATACAACATTCTTCTTCTGTATGTACGTACGCTTTTAGCGCAAACAATTTACTTCTATTACTGATCCCCTGAGACGCCTTCGAAGTTATGCTCTCGTATTTAAAACGAAATAAGAAATATTGAAACCATTGTAATACTTCTCTGTACACTGTTAGTTAACAAAATGGCGGAAAGTGTAAAATCTTTCTCTCTCACCAGAGTGACCTAAAAGTGATCATGGACTCCAAAGGTCCCTCGTTCTATCGCGATCATCTCCCGTTGCTAGGCGAGGACCAGCGGGCATTTATTGGAATGTTCTCGCCCGGCGACCACGTTGCCATAGAGCTGGACGTGGAGGTTGTTAAGAATCTCCAGGTCGGCCACGGAGGGTGGAGTCCTGGCATGTTGGAGGTTAGTTTGCTGTCGATACAATAAGAATGAAGTTTATTGCCGAATGAATTGTGCATACCTAGTCGTCTCAATGTGGGATTTTATATATGTTGTATATGACTGGCACTACCACCCACTGCACATGTACTTCCTGATTTTCAAATCCACCGTTGCGGAAAATTGAAGTACACTTGCCTTAAATGTGTTGCCTATTCACCTATCGTCTGTTGTTTTTGTTTGTTGTTGTTGTCAAGGTGATGAATGCAGTGGGTGTGGTCAGAGGAGTTGACGAGGACCATGACGTCGTCGTCCAGTATCCATCACGACAGAGGTACATCATTACCTAGCAACAGAAAACTTGTATGAATAGCAACTTTTTGTGCAACTTTCTGAACTACAGTAGTTTTGTGGACAATAGTGAACTTTTCCCATTTCTCTCACTCCCACAGATGGACTATGAACCCAGCCATCCTGAAGAAGGTCCCCAGTCCAGTCCAGGAAGTGGAACGGAATGGAGCCCGTCACCCTCACCCTCCTCCTCTCACCATCCCCAGTACCACCACTGATCCCTTTGAAGACGCCTTCAAGGTGTGCTCTCTATTTAAACGATATCGAGAAATATTGAAACCATTCCCATTGTAGTTAACAACAATAGCAAAAGCTTTTTGTGAGCTAAGGCAAGCAGTGACTTTCGAATGGCTGTACATAATGTTCACACGTGTTTGTTGCATCAACGCTGTATATAATATATATGGTATATTATATATACAAATCATGCGATACTATAATTATATATACATCATAGGTGGGCGACTTTGTGAAGATATCTGCAGATGCCGAGAAGGTGAAGGAGTATCAAACCGGCCACGGAGAGTGGGTGGAGTCGATGATACACGTGAGCATAGTTTGTTATATAGTTGTACGTACGTATTAATGGGGTCATGTGACTGTCACGTGACGTGGATATCTCTCCCTCCACCAGACCCTGGGTAAAGTGGGTAGAATTGCAGAGGTGTATGGTGACGGAGACCTAAAGATTGACGTCAAGGGGACCATGTGGACCTTCAACTCACAGGCAGTGAGAAAAGTGGACGGCGACGGAATGCCGCTGACTCCCAGTACCAGTGGTGAGAGTCTCAGTTTTCCACTCTGAATGTAGTAGATAACTGCTAATGCTGCTGAAGGTGCTGTGTACCCAGTGGCAGCTCTTCTTGTTTGAGTGTCAGAGGTTCGAATCCCACCCAGGGCAGCTCTTCTTCTTTTCTTTGAGCAGTATTGACTTGTTTGAGTTTCGAGGTTCTAATCGAGCGAGAGTTGAATTGTTGCCTTGCCTGCCTTCTACCTACCTCGTTACCAAGTTGTTGAGACATGCACACAGGAGAATGCAAAAACAACGTAAATTTTCTGCGCTTGAAATTTTAACCCTTTCGTGGTCCGTATAGGTTTAATTTTAACCCTTTCCCTCCTCCCTCCAGCCAATGTATCCCAGCTGCTGCGCCACATGTTCGAGGAACATCAGTCCAGTTCGCCAGGGGAAGAGCTGGTGAAGTGTGCGGCCAGCGGGGACGTCTCGAGGGTAGAGGACCTCTTACGAGGAGGAGAGGTCGTGTTGGTAGACGTGCCGTTTAATGGAAGTACCGCTCTTCAGACTGCCAGTCAGGTATACTAGTCGGGCATGTTGTACAGGTCAGAGCCGGTTTGACCAGTTTATAACCTGATTTGTTGTCTCAATAATTATAATGACCTGAGTATTTTATCGCCTAATTTCCCGCATCTACTCTCCAAATAGATTTTAAATTTGAATAGCTAGACTTAAATTTGAATGTTGTGACTGTTTTTGGGTGAATCGCGGTTTTTTTACCAGTTGTATGTGTGTGTGTCGGATGTTTTCATTTTCAGAATGGTCACATTGAGATTGTCAAGTGCCTCCTCAGAAATGGAGCCAACATTGAAGAAGAGGTCGGTGTTTTATACCATTACATCATCTCTAAAAGTCAGGACACACTTTCGCCCTGTCCTACAGGACAAGGACGGAGACAGAGCGGTCCACCACGCAAGTTTCGGCGACGAACCGGAGGTCGTCGACCTTCTGTCGAGTAACTCGCATACCTGACGCCAGGAACAAGAGACGTCAGACTCCCGCTTCACGTGGCTGTGACAAGGGACACCTTGGTGTGATTAGGGTTCTACGCAGCACCACTGTCACTCCAGTCTCCAGTGTTGCTACATTTAGAGTAGTCCTCCAGGTGTGCTGCATTTAGAGTAGTCTCCAGGTGTGCTGCATTTAGAGTAGTCTCCAGGTGTGCTACATTTAGAGTAGTCTCCAGGTGTGCTACATTTAGAGTAGTCTCCAGGTGTGCTACATTTAGAGTAGTCTCCAGGTGTGCTACATTTAGAGTAGTCTCCAGGTGTGCTACATTTAGAGTAGTCTCCAGGTGTGCTACATGTAGAGTATCTCCAGGTTGGTACATTTAGAGTAGTCTCCAGGTGTGCTTACATTTAGAGTAGTCTCCAGGTGTGCTACATTTAGAGTAGTCTCCAGGTGTGCTGCATTTAGAGTAGTCTCCAGGTGTGCTGTATTTAGAGTAGTCTCCAGGTGTGCTACATTTAGAGCCGTCTCCGGTGTGGCTACATTAGAGTAGTCTCCAGTGCTGGACCGGCGATGGAATGCCGCTGACTCCCAGTACCAGCAGTGGTGAGAGTCTCAGTTCTCCACTCTGGATGTGGTTAGAACGAGTTGGTTACGCTTGCTTAAAGGTGCTGTGTATCCCAGGGCAGCTCTCTTCTTTCTTTTCACTTAGAGCTAGAGTAGTTGGACTGTGTTTGAGTGTCAGAAGTTCGAATCAAGCCCACGCCGACGCTCTCTTCTTTTCTTAGAGCTAGACGTAGTTGACTATAGCTTTGAGTGTCAGAGGTTCGAATCCACCCAGGGCAGCTCTTCTTCTTTTCTTATAGAGCATAGAATAGTTGACTTTGTTTGAGTGTCCAGGGGTTCGAATCCACCCAGGGCAGCTCTTCTTCTTTTCTTTTGAGTAGTTGAACTTGTTTGAGTGTCAGGGTTTCGAATCCCACCCAGGGCAGCTCTTCTTCTTTTCTTTGAAAGAAGAGCTGTCCTGGGTGTAGCTGACTTGTTTGCCTTGCCTGCCTGTTCTACCTCGCTACCAAGTTGTTGAGACATGCAACAAGGAGAATGCAAAAACAAACTGTGATTTTTCTGCGCTTGAAATTTTAACCCTTTTCTTAGTCCGTATAGGTTTAAATTTTAACCCTTTCCCCCCTCCCCCCCAGCAATGTGTCCCAGCTGCTGCGTCAACATGTTTGAGGAACAATCAGTCCAGTTCGCAGGGAAGAGCTGGTGAAGTGTGCGGCCAGCGGGGGACGTTTTCGAGGGTGGAAGGGACCTCTTTACGAGGAGGAGAGGTCCCGTGTTGGTGGACGTGCCGTTTAATGGAAGTACGCTCTTCAGACTGCCAAAGTCGAGGTATATATCTAGTGCGGGCATGTTGTAGCAGTCTCAGCGCCGGTTTGACCAGTTTATAACCTGTTTTGTTGTCTCAATATATGACCTGAGTATTTTTTCTCGCCTAATATCCCGCATTTACTCTCCAATTAGATTTTAAATTTGAATAGCTAGATTTAAATTTGAATGTTGTGACTGTTTTTGGGTGAATCTCGTTTTTTTACCAGTTGTGTGTGTGTTGTGTCGGATGTTTTCATTTTCAGAATGGACACATTGAGATTGTCAAGTGCCTCCTCAGAAATGGAGCCACATTGAAGAAGAGGTCGGTACCATTACATCATCTCTAAAAGTCAGGACACACTTTCGCCCTGTCCTACAGGACAAGGACGGAGACAGAGCGGTCCACCACGCAAGTTTCGGCGACGAACCGGAGGTCGTCGACCTTCTGTCGAGTAACTCGGCAGACCTGAACGCGAGGAACAAGAGACGTCAGACTCCGCTTCACGTGGCTGTGAACAAGGGACACCTTGGTGTGATTAGGGTTCTACTGCAGCACACTGTCCCTTGCCAGTCTCGCAGGTGTGCTGCATTTTAGAGTAGTCTCCAGGTGGTGCTGCATTTAGAGTAGTCTCCAGGTGTGCTACATTTAGAGTAGTCTCCAGGTGGTGCTGCATTTAGAGTGGTATCCAGGTGTGCTGCATTTAGAGTAGTCTCCAGGTGTGCTACATTTAGAGTAGTCTCCAGGTGTGCTACATTTAGAGTAGTCTCCAGGTGTGCTACATTTAGAGTAGTCTCCAGGTGTGCTACATTTAGAGTAGTCTCCAGGTGTGCTACATTTAGAGTAGTCTCCAGGTGTGCTGCATTTAGAGTAGTCTCCAAGGTTGTGCTGATTTAGAGTAGTCTCAGGTGTGCTACATTTTAGAAGTAGAGAGATAGAGAGAGAATTTTACAGTGGAACTCCTCTAATCCAGACACCAATGGGACAGGAGAAAATGTCCATATTAGTGAGGTGTCCTTATTTCAGGGGTTGCAAGAATTGGGAAAGAAAAGGTGTCCTTATTAGAGAGGTGTCCTCATTTCAGGAAGGCTACAATCGTCTCCCTCCCTCCCGTCCAGGATTCAGAGGGGGACACACCTCTCCACGACGCCATCTCCAAGAAGAGAGACGACATGGTTGCTCTGCTGCTTGACGGAGGGGCCGATGTCACCGTCGCCAATAACAACGGCTTCAACTGCCTTCACCATGCAGCTCTTAGGTATAATGTATGAGGGCCCCTATCAGAGGTTCCACTGTACCCTCTCTCTCTCTCTCCCTCCCTCCCTCTCCCTCCCCCCTCCCTCCCTTCATTCAGAGGTAACATCGGAGCCCTCCGTCACATCCTCCCCCGACTGCCGGCCCTGTGCGGTGTGGACGATCAAAAAGACGACGGGTTCACTTCCCTCCATCTCTCTGCTCTAAACAACCACCTGGAGGCTTCTCAGGCTCTCTTGCAGGCAGTGAGTCAGTTTCAACTTTCACTTTAGAGAAGGTCTAGAAAGATCTGCTATCTGTTTGTAGTGCAATAATGTAATTTCCCCAGTCTTGTGTTTCATCGATGATGTAATGTTTCCCCTCTCAGGGCGCGAATCCAAATATCCAGAACGTAAATCTCCAGACGCCGCTTCACCTGGCCGTGGAGCGGAGGAACATCCAGATAGTGAGACTCTTGGTCGAGGAAGGAGCCAACCCAGACATGGGGGACAAGTTTGGCGATCGTCCGCTGCACGAGGCCCTCCGACACCACACCATGTCCCAGCTGAAACAAGTTCAGGAGAGTCCGCAGGATATTGGGAAGGTAATGTGGTTCCTTGCTTCAGCCTTCAGTTCCCAGGCTTTTAGCTGTAGGTATATAGTGGAACCCCTCTCTAATAAGGACACTGAAATGAGGACACCTCTCTAATAAGGACACTTTCTTTCCCCAGAACAGTCTTGCGTGCAATATAAAGACACCTCACTAAAGGACACTTTCTTCTGTCCCATTGTATGACAAATCCATCCTCTCCCCCCAGGCGATGGTTACCATATCAACGGAGAAGAAAGCCCAGTGCCAGTATCGCCATATTCCTCGCCTCAGCCGAGCCTCGCTGGAGGTCAGAGTTCACGAGACTCATCAAAACTTCCACACTAGTGGTTTGCTCGCTAATATAATGTGTGTGTGCAGCTGACTGTAGTGTCAGAAGGTTAAGGATGTAGAATCGTTACTACTAAAGCGTGGAACTACCCTCGTGAGGAGGTGTCTAATTTCAGCGTCAGTTAACCCCTTTTTAGCTATGTATATTACAGCACACATTCCATGTGAACCCTGAGCTGAACCGGTTTGTGTCAGGTGTTCTGAAAGCAGCGGACGCATATAAGAATCAAGGAGAACAGCGCGCGACCAGTGTCTATCGCTGCTCGTATCCAACAGCTTCTGTCACTGGAACTGCATAGAAGTAAAATGGTTTCATGCTGTGACCACGCCCGAGTGGTCAGGACAAGGCACGCTCTGCTGCCGCTAAGGTGGGGCGGGGCTTTCGCTGTAGCATCATGCAACAAACACTCCAAATTGACACTGAGTCCCCAAGTGAGATTTGTTTTAAATTACTCCATTGTCCTTCTCTTGCCTCCTATAGGATATTATGTTCTCCTTGTTTGTATCCACTCGTTCACCGGACTCTGTGTTTATTCTTCACTTTCTTCTTTCTCCTCTCTCGCTTTCCCTCCTCCCTCCTCCCTCCCTCCCAGCCGTCCTCATCCTCCCAGAACGGCTCGCTCTCCACGTGTCTAGTGTGTGAGACTGGTCGCCGGGCGGTGCTCCTGTTGCCGTGCGCTCACGTGGCAACCTGCGAGAAATGTCAAGTGTCCTCCTGCCCCATCTGTCGCCAGCCCGTCTCCCATAGCAACAGGGTTAGCCCCTCCCATTCCACCTATCAAATACCATCTTACATACATAGCTATATAGTTGCATCAAGCATTTCCATTTTAACCTTCTTCTGCCACTGATTATGTGACAACAAGTATGTTTGAAGTAGCATTGATGTACCTTCAATGGGCATGTGTAAACAGTGATGAATGGCTTTATGCTTCTTGCATTCGCTCACGCTAAAATTCATTCACGTTATTGAGAGTACTAAACCTCTCTCTCTCTCCTCTCTTTTCTCTCAGATCGAGGAATGTGTGGTATGTTCTAAAGCGGAAGCCTCAGTCGTCTTCAAGCCCTGTCTCCACATGGTGGCGTGTGACAGCTGCTCGTCCATCATGACGAAATGTGTCAAGTGTCGCACTGCCATCGAGACCGCCGTACCTCTCTCTGTCGCCAGTGGAGGAAGACGTGAGTCACCTGACCTAGTGGAGATATCATGTGACCTAGTTGAGGTGTCATGTGACCTAGTTGAGATATCATGTGATCTAGTTGAGATATCATGTGACCTAGTTGAGATATCATGTGACCTAGTTGAGGTGTCATGTGACCTAGTTGAGATATCATGTGACCTAGTTGAGATATCATGTGACCTAGTTGAGATATCATGTGACCTAGTGGAGATATCATGTGACCTAGTTGAGGTGTCATGTGACCTAGTTGAGGTGTCATGTGACCTAGTTGAGATATCATGTGATCTAGTTGAGATATCATGTGACCTAGTTGAGATATCATGTGACCTAGTTGAGGTGTCTTGTGACCTGGATTGGCTAAAAACACTTTACTACTTTTTTCTCGCCACTCTAGGGTTCTGCTATAAGTATAGAGCCTTATGTATATCTGCCTTCTTCCTCCCACAGCTCTCAAGGTGAGAGGAAGAGGGTCCAGAGGCTCAGGAGGCCCAGTTGGTAGTCAAGACATTGCTTCACTGCAGCAACAGCTACAGGAGATGAAAGAGAAGGTGTGTTGCAATGTCGCTGCTTTTGAGTTCTCTGAATCGAAAAAATTCACGTCAAACATGTGCACATCACGTTTCTTTTGGCGAGTTTCCACGACTTGCGGTTACTGTGGCTCTGCTTTCCCTCTCTCTCTCTCTCTCTCCCTCCCCCCTCTCTCTCTCTCTCTCTCTCTCCCTCCCTTTCCCTCCCTCTCTCTCTCTCTCTCTCTCTCTCTCTCTCTCCTCTCTCTCTCTCCCTCTCTCTCTGCCCACTTCCCTCTCTCTCTGCCCTCCCCAGACCCAATGTCAGGTGTGTATGGACAGAAGAAAGAACTGTGTGTTCCTGTGTGGCCATGGGACATGTCAGTTGTGTGCCGACAAGATCATAGAGTGTCCAATATGTAGGAAACTAGTCTCCAGGAAGATCATACTCTTTGACTGATTTCACTGGATTGTTTGTGCACATTATGTTATTGCTGTCTGTTGTGTGCAATAGAGAATTCCAGTGGTGTTGTAGCGTGCCAGAATGGTTCGGCCGGCTCAACAGGCCGCAATATTTACGTCACGCAATTAGCATAGCGCATAGAATACAGCGCTCAATCAGACAGTAGTAAATTTTGGCTCTCTAATGTCTATGGAACTATTCAGGCACATGCAGTGTATCAAAGGAATGCAGTGTACTGTGGGCACACCAATGTAGTGCAATACTATTACTGAGTCATTCCGCACACTTCATGCCAATTATCACAGAGCACTCGCCGAGCCCGCCATAACAAGTTTCACCTTAAGTAGGCGTCGGTAGATGCATGCGGCCAGACTAGCTGTAACTACTTCCTGTGATGTGATCGCGCATTTCCAGTCGGATACATGTTTTGCACATGCGCACTTCGGAACTGAACGTCAGCGCCCGGCCTCGCAGGCGTACTACGCGAGTCGCGACGCCATGTGTTCTTTCGGGACCATTGGTGAGCATGCGCAGAGAGGATTATGCTAAATAGCAGAGGTGTGGTTTGCGCGTATATTTTGCGCAAAGATATAATTAGCTGGCTACATCATGAGATGTAAATATACAAAAAAACCTCCACCTATATAATAGCTATATACACTGTCCAATGATCCGTGTGACCATGCTGTCAATACTGAGATATACTCAGAGAAACAATAACAGCAGTAATAGTGGTGACAGCAACTGTCATAATATTGTTGTTGGTTGGAGAACCAGAATCTGTAGTGACCGCAACTGTCATATTGTTGGTTGGAGAACCTGAATCTGTGGTGACCGCAACTGTCATAATACTGTTGGTTGGAGAACCAGAATATGGTAAAGGGCTGTTATTGCAGCCATCAGTTGGAAAATCTTCATTGCAGCCTTCGTACAGAGCTCTGGGACTGTAGGCATTAGAAATGAAGTCGTAGTAGGCGTCTATGCAGCAGCCTTGTTCTTCAACTGCATCTCTTAGGTCAGAGCTGCAATTGCACTTACCTGAACTGGTCAATGTCTGGTAACAACTTGCTTCAGTAGTTACAGAATCCAAGGCCTTGCCATACAAGCGATAACATTTGGTTCCATTTTCATTTGTCCCGCACAAATCAACATTAAATTTTTCAATGCCAGGAGTGCTATACACTCCGCATTCGTTTAAAACATCATTTATTACAATCCCACACTCAGGGTTGCAGTAAAAGCCAAAAGATAACTCAAGTTGTTGTTGTAACTCAGCCCTCATATCCAAATCAAACTCCACTTCTTCCAGGGCAGCATATTGCAGTTGGTCACAAAAAACGGAAGTGTTTCCTTGAAAATATGCATCCATCTTCTCTTCAATACATTGGTTCTCTCCGGGCGTCTGCCGTTTGTGTACCTTTGCTGTGATGAGCCTTTCGTGCAAAAACGTGCTGCAATTAGCTTCATGAAAAGCTGTCATAAACGCCAGCAACAAGAAAACTCCTGAACGCATATTCAGAACTGTAGGAATAGATGAACACTGTAATTTTTAAGGTGCCTACAGAGTGAGCAAATGCAGTGCGGACTGGCTAAACTCGCAACTGAGCAACATGTGCTAAGCGCGAGTAAAACGAAACTCATTTACCTGTACACGAAGTATTAGCTACAAGAAGACACTTTGGTTGGCTGGGGTGCCGCCTCAATCCGGTTGAGCACGGATTTCTCCTCTTACCTGCGGACTGCGGAGTCTATATAGTACTCTTGTCCGTGTTTTATAGCGGCGCGGAGCAACCGACCAGGCCGCCGCGAGACTATGACGACAGCCAAACGTACTGCATGCATGCACGTGACCACGCGGGAAAAGGGGCGCGCGCCTGCATTTATATATTATAATTATAGCGCGCGCCAAAATGCACGTTGCGTGACATTACTGCCAATATCACATATATTTTGAGAAACTTGAATCCATTGGGGCTGCAATAGAAGGGTGAATAATGATTATAGCAAGTTAATCTCTTGAATCAAGGATCCAGGAGAGTTCTATTGTTCTGGCCAGAACATTCTGTCTAATTGCCGGTTGAGTATAATTATAATTATATAATATTAGGGTGTGTATGTGTGTGGCTTAGTGGTTTGTGGTGTTCCAGGTCTTTACATATTGCAACAATAGCAAAAGCCTTTCAAGGCAAGCAGTGAGTTTTGAATGGCTGTACATAATATTCACACATGTTCGTTGCATCGATGCTATATATAATTTATATAGAATTCATGTGATGATAATAATTATATATTATTAGTGCATAGCTGATTCGAATCGACCAATCAGATTTGTTATTACGAGGTTCCTGATTTCTCATATGAACCTCGTGAGCTAACAAAAGTAACATGAAAACATGATATGAAACCTTGTTTTTTCTGTTGATTTTCAACAAGTTCAACAGCATTTCATGTAGGAAATGTATCCCGTAAAACATGATCTATACAAAATGTTGATCAAAATAACTGATATCTTGATTTTCTTTTTCCACAAGACAGTTTCTGTGTCTGCTTTGAGCCCATCTCCCTCCTTGCCATAGCAGCCAGGCAGCTCACGCCCGCCCACAAACCACCGCACGCAAATAAGGGGGTGGGGCTCCGCGAGCGAGTGCGCGCGACAAAGCGACTAAGTCTACGGCGAACGCCTTCGGTATAGCAGCCCGCACAGCGCCTGAATTCTCCACAGTCTCGCCTCTCTCTGATTGCGATGGTTCGCGCAGGTCTCCTGTCGCGTTTCTTTCGCGGAGGACAGTCCCACAGCGGGAGTAGCTAGAGCGGCGGAGCAGCGTATCCTAGCGTTCGGCGTCAATAGTCCCGCACGAGATGACGGTCTTGCGCTCTCGTCTCTTTCTCGCATCTTCCTCTGCTTTGGAAACGCGGCTGTGCGCGTATACGGAGCTGATTTTGCTCTGCATTAACATGTTTATGTACTCCGTATACTCGGACATACCGGATTTCAATGAACCCCAGGCCCTCCGCGTAGTGCCCTTGCTGCGCTCGGGACACTACAAACGCGGAGGCCCTGGGGTTCATTGAAATCCGGTATGTCCCTCGCACGTAGTACATAACATATATTTAGACCGCAGTCACTGACGCAATTGACCATCAGATTACAGAATTGCGGGGGTTTATTTTTCATAGACACCTCGTTTCAGGTGTCTAATGGCGTTTGCAGGTGGTCTACAGCAAACTCCCGTACAAAATGGCTATTCTCAAAAGTCGTTATCTGCGCAAACCGGCGCCGATTCCGCGTTCGGTATATGTAAGCGCTAGAAGGGGCGACTGGCAACAGTAGAGCTCTTTTAAAATGCAGTAGTGCACCTGCAAGAAGTCTGTGGACAGTCTCCGGAGCTCGCGAAAGTCAGAAATCACGGTTAATATTCCACGAAAAAAGCGTCGGCTTCTTTAGCTCTGGCGATTACACAAACACATTGGGCCGTTGCCGTGCGTTGGCTAACCCTTTCAAACGCGCACCACCAATGAGGGCGTTTTTATGATGACCGTAAACGATTTTTGACGGGGGGCGGGGGCGTGTCTCCTCGGAGTCTCACACGTAAAAAAAGCGCCTTGTTCGATCCGAGGTAAGGACATGAGGAATGAGCGCAGCGTTCTTGCTAGCTTGTTGCTACCCATTTGAACGCGCAAACACCAATCAGCTACTCCGGTCTAACCGGTAGACCGCGGAAGCTCGGTTGTCTACGCATACATTGCAACCCTCGGGGCCATGTGGGGTCGCGCCCTCGCTGCGCTCGGGACGCCAACATTCCACAGCCCTCGGGCTTGCAATGTAGCGTAGACACCTCGCTCCGCGTCTACCTATATTTATATTATACATAGGTGGGCGACTTTGTGAAGATATCTGCAGATGCCGAGAAAGTGAAGGAGTTTCAAACCGGTCACGGAGAGTGGGTGGAGTCGATGATACACGTGAGCATAGTTTGTTATATAGTTGTACGTACGTACTAATGGGGTCATGTGAGTGTCACGTGACGTGGATTATCTCTCCACTCCACCAGACCCTGGGTAAGTAGTGGGTAGAATTGCAGAGGTGTGTATGGTGACGGAGACCTAAAGATTGACGTCAAGGAACCATGTGACCTTTCAATCACAGGCAGTGAGAAAAGTCGACGGCAACGGAATGCCGCTGACTCCCAGTACCAGTGGTAAGAGTCTCAGTTCTCCACTCTGAATGTGTTAGAAAAGTTGGTTACACTGCTGAAGGTGCTGTGTACCCAGGGCAGCTCTTCTTCTTTTCTTTGAGCTGAGTAGTTGACTTGTTTGAGTGTCAGAGGTTCGAATCCAGACCAGGGCAGCTCTTTTCTTTTCTTTGAGTGAATAGTGTTTGAGTGTCAGAGGTTCGAATCCAACCAGGGCAGTCTTCTTTTTTCTTTGAGCGAATAGTTGTTTGAGTTGTCAGAGGTCGAATCCAACCAGGGCAGCTCTTCTTCTTTTCTTTGAAAAGAAGAGCTGTCTGGGTGTAGCGACTTGTTTGCTTGCCTCGCCTTTCTACCTCGCTACCAAGTTGTTGAGACATGCAGCAAGGAGAATGCAAAAACAATTGTGAATTTTCTGCGCTTGAAATTTTAACCCTTTCTTGGTCCGTATAGGTTTAATTTTAACCCTTTCCCTCCTCCCTCCAGCCAATGTGTCCCAGCTGCTGCGTCACATGTTTGAGGAACATCAGTCCAGTTCGCCAGGGGAAGAGCTGGTGAAGTGTGCGGCCAGCGGGGACGTCTCGAGAGTAGAGGACCTCTTACGAGGAGGAGAGGTCGTGTTGGTAGACGTGCCGTTTTTAATGGAAGTACCGCTCTCCAGACTGCCAGTCAGGTATACTAGTCAGGCATGTTGTACAGGTCCAGAGCCGGTTTGACCAGTTTATAACCTGTTTTGTTGTCTCAATATATGACCTGAGTATTTTTTCTCGCCTAATATCCCGCATTTACTCTCCAATTAGATTTTAAATTTGAATGGCTAGATTTAAATTTGAATGTTGTGACTATTTTTGGGTGAATTTTACCAGTTGTATGTGTGTTGTGTCGTGTCGGATGTTTTCATTTTCAGAATGGTCACATTGAGATTGTCAAGTGCCTCCTCAGAAATGGAGCCAACATGAAGAAGAGGTCGGTATTTTATACCATACATCATCTCTAAAAGTCAGGACGCACTTTCGCCCGGTCCTACAGGACAAGGACGGGAGCAGAGCGGTCCCCACGCAAGTTTCTGCGACGACAACGGAGGTCGTCGACGACGTATCTGGCGAGTATACTCGGCAGATCGGAACGCGAGGAAACAAGAGACGTCAGACTCCAGCTTCACGTGGCTGCTGAACACGGGACACCTTGGTGTGTGATTAGGGTTCTACTGCAGCACCACTGTCACTCCAGTCTCCAGTGTCGCCATACATGTAGCGTAGTGTGCTCAGGTGGGCTGCATTAGAGTAGTCTCCAGGTGAAACAAGGACACCTTGGTGTGATTAGGGTTCTACTGCAGCCACCACTGTCACTCCAGTCTCCGGCGTGTGCTACATGAGAGTAGTCTCAGTGTGCGGCATGTAGAGTAGTCTCCAGGTGTGCGCATTAGAGTCGTCTCCAGGTGAACAAGGGACACCGTGGATGTGCTTAGGGTCTACTGCAGCACCACTGTCACTCCAGTCTCCAGGTGTGCTACATTTAGAGTAGTCTCCAGGTGAAACAAGGGACACTTGGGTGTGATTAGGGTTTACTGCAGCACCACTGTACTCCAGTCTCAGGTGTGCTACATTAGAGTAGTCTCCAGGTGTGCTGCATTAGAGTAGTCTCCAGGTGAACAAGGGACACCTTGGTGTGATTAGGGTTCTACTGCAGCACCATGTCACTCCAGTCTCCAGGTGTGCTACATTAGAGTAGTCTCCAGGTGTGCTGCATTAGAGTAGTCTCCAGGTGTGCTGCATTTAGAGTAGTCTCCAGGTGAACAGGGACACCTTGGTGTGATAGGGTTCTACTGCAGCACCACTGCTCACTCAGTCTCCAGGTGTGCTACATTAGAGTAGTCTCCAGGTGAACAAGGGACACCTTGGTGTGATAGGGTTCACTGCAGCACCACTGTCACTCCAGTCTCCGGTGTGCGCATTTAGAGTAGTCTCCAGGTGAACAAAGGGACACTTGGGTGTGATTAGGGTTCTACTGCAGCACCACTGTCAATCAGTCTCCAGGTGTGCTACATTAGAGTAGTCCAGGTGTGCTGCATTTAGAGTAGTTCCAGGTGTGCTACATTTAGAGTAGTCTCCAGGTGTGCTGCATTTAGAGTAGTCTCCAGGTGTGCTGTATTTAGAGTAGTCTCCAGGTGTGCTGCATTTAGAGTAGTCTCCAGGTGTGCTACATTTAGAGTAGTTGCCAGGTGTGCTACATTTAGAGTAGTCTCCAGGTGTGCTGCATTTAGCGTAGTCTCCAGGTGTGCTTCATTTAGAGTAGTCTCCATGTGTGCTACATTTAGCGTAGTCTCCAGGTGTGACTCATTTAGAGTAGTCTCCAGGTGTGATTACATTTAGAGTAGTCGCCAGGTGGCTGCATTAGAGTAGTCTCCAGGTGTGCTACATTTAGAGTAGTCTCCAGGTGTGCTACATTTAGAGTAGTCTCCAGGTGTGCTGCATTTAGAGTAGTCTCCAGGTGTGCTACATTTAGAGAAGTCTCCAGGTGTGCTGCATTTAGAGTAGTCTCCAGGTGTGCTACATTTAGAGTAGTCTGCCAGGTGTGCTACATTTAGAGTAGTCTCCAGGTGTGCTGCATTTAGAGTAGTCTCCAGGTGTGCTGCATTTAGAGTAGTCTCCAGGTGTGCTACATTTAGAGTAGTCTCCAGGTGTGCTACATTTAGAGTAGTCTCCAGGTGAACTGGACTACCTTGTGTGTTAGGGTTCTATCAGCACCACGTCACTCCAGTCTCCAGGTGTGCTGCATTAGAGTAGTCTCCAGGTGTGCTGTATTAGAGTAGTCTCCAGGTGTGCTGATCAGTTTATAGCAGCACCCGTCTCCAGGTGTGCTACATTTAGAGTAGTCTCCAGGGTGCTGCATTAGAGTAGTCTCCAGTGTGCTACATTGTAGCGAGATAGAGAGAGAATTTGACCAGTTTTTTATTTGTTGGAGAAAGTTGTTGGTTTGGAGTGCAGGGGTTTGTGGAGAGGGTGGACTCCTCTAATCCAGACACCAATGGGAGACAGGAGAAACATGTCCATATTAGTGAGGTGTCCTTATCAGGGTGTTGCGCAAGGACTGGGAAGAAAAGGTGTCCTTATTAGAGAGGTGTCCTCAGTTTCAGGACGCTAACAATCGTCTCCCTCCTCCCGTCCAGATCAGAGGGGGACACACCTCTCCACGACGCCATCTCCAAGAAGAGAGACGGACATGGTTGCTCTGCTGCTGTGACGGAGGGGCGCGTCACCGTCGCCAATAACAACGGCTTCAACTGCCCTCACCATGCAGCTCTAGTATAAGGTATGAGGGGCCTTATCAGAGGTTCCACGTGTACCTCTACTCTCTCCTCCCTCCCTCCCTCTATCTCTCTCTCGTCTCTCGAGGTGGGATAACATCGGAGCCCTCCGTCACATCCTCCACCCGACTGCGGCCCTGTGTGTGTGTGGACGATCAAAAAGACGACGGGTTCACTTCCCTCCATCTCTCTGCTCTAAACAACCACCTGGAGGCTTCTCAGGCTCTCTTGCAGGCTGTGAGTCAATTTCAACTTTCACTTTAGAGAAGGTCTAGAAAGAGCTGTCTGTTAGTATATATACGGTACTATATGGCACATTATGTTGGTTGGTAAGTTTGTGTAATAATTACTGCGACTTCTCAGGGGCTCTTGCAGGCAGTGAGTCACTTTCACTTTCACTTTAGTTAGGGTCTAGAACCAACTCTGCTCTATCTGTTTGTAGTGCATAATGTAATTTCCCCAGTCTTCTGTTTCATCGATGATGTAATGTTTCCCCTCTCAGGGCGCGAATCCAAATATCCAGACGTAACTCGCAGACGCGCTCACCTGCCGTGGACCGGAGGAACATCCAGATAGTGCACGACTCTCTGGTCGAGGAAGGAGCCAACCCAGACATGGGGGACAAGTTTGGCGATCGTTCCGCTCCGCGTGCACGAGGCACTCCGACACCACACCATGTCCCAGCTGAACACACGTTCAGGAGACGCTCCGCAGGATATTGCGGAGGTAATTAATGAGCGATAATAATCATAAATAACTCCTGAAATCGAGGACACGCGTCTATAAGGACACCCCTGAAGGAGGACACCTCTCTAATAAGGACACCGCTTAATGAGGACACCTCTAATAAGGACACCTTTCTCTTCCCCAAGAACAGTTCTTGCGGGACAAGATAAAGACACCTCACTAATAAGACACTTTCTCTGTCCCATGGTATGACAAATCCATCCTCTCCCCCAGGCGATGGTTACCATATCAACGGAGAAGAAAATGCCAGTGCCAGTATCGCATAGTCCTCGCCTCAGCCGCGAGACCTCGCTGGAGGTCAGAGTTACACGAGACTCATAAAACTTCCACACTCGCTAATATTGTGTTGTGGTGACAGTGACAGAAGGGTTAAATTTAGCAATGTTACGAAAGATGAACCTACCCAGTGAAGAGTTTCTAAATTTAGACCATTGAAACCACTAGCCTATGTATACAGCCACATTCCTGTAACTGCTGAACGGTTGTGTCAGGTTCTGAACAAGAGAACCGGAAAAACCGGTGGAGCTCTGTTCGGATCAACGCTTCCTGAAACTGCTCTGACAGAAATGTCATCTTGACCACGCCCAGAGTGGCAGGGACCACACCCTCTGCCGATAAGGGCGGCGGGCGTCGTCTGTAGCATAGCAACAAACACTCCCAAATTGCACACTGTCCCCAAGTGTGAAGAGAAATTACACCATGGCTTCCACATCAACTCCTCACTCCCTCCTCACTGTATACTAGATTCTACAGTCGGTAAATGACACCACCCCATGCAAAGGACACTTTCAGTGGCCCCACGGAGATTGTTGGGACATACATCCATGTTCCCCGCTATCTCCTCTCTCCCATCCCTCCCTACCCGCTCCTCCTCCCTCCCTCCCTCCCTCCCAGCCGCCTCATCCTCCCAGAACGGCTCGCTCTCCACGTGTCTAGTGTGCGAGACTGGTCGCCGGGCGGTGCTCCTGTTGCCGTGCGCTCACGTGGCAACCTGCGAGAAATGTCAAGTGTCCTCCTGCCCCATCTGTCGCCAGCCCGTCTCCCATAGCAACAGGGTTAGCCCCTCCCATTCCACCTATCAAATACCATCTTACATACATAGCTATATAGTTGCATCAAGCATTTCCATTTTAACTTTCTTCTGCCACTGATTATGTGACAACAAGTATGTATGAAGTAGCATTGATGTATGTACCTTCAATGGGCATGTGCAAACAGTGATGACCCTATGCTTTCTTGCATTCGCTCGCCTAAAATTCATTCTCGTTATTTGAGAGTTTTAAAACATCTCGTCTCTCTTCTCTCTCTCCTCTCTTTCTTGCAGATCGAGGAATGTGTGGTATGTTCTAAAGCGGAAGCCTCAGTCGTCTTCAAGCCCTGTCTCCACATGGTGGCCTGTGACAGCTGCTCGTCCATCATGATGAAATGTGTCAAGTGTCGCACTGCCATCCGAGGACCGCGTACCTCTCTCTGTCGCCAGTGGAGGAAGACGTGAGTCACCTGACCTTGTTGAGATATCACGTGACCTAGTTGAGGTGTCATGTGACCTAGTTGAGATATCATGTGACCTAGTTGAGATATCATGTGACCTAGTTGAGGTGTCTTGTGACCTGGATTGGCTAAAAACACTTTACTACCTTTTTCTCGCCACTCTGGATTCTGCTATAAGTATAGAGCCTTATGTGTGTATCTGCCTTCTTCCTCCCACAGCTCTCAAGGTGAGAGGAAGAGGGTCCAGAGGCTCAGGAGGCCCAGTTGGTAGTCAAGACATTGCTTCGCTGCAGCAACAGCTACAGGAGATGAAAGAGAAGGTGTGTTGCAATGTCGCTGCTTTTGAGTTCTCTGAATCGAAAACAAATTCACGTCAAACATGTGCACATCACGTTCTTTTGGCGAGTTTCCACGACTTGCGGTACTGTGGCTCTGCTTTCCCTCTCTCGCTCTCTCGCCCTCCCCCCCTCTCTCTCTCTCTCTCTCCTCCCTCTCCTTTCCCTCCTCTCTCTCTCTCTTCTCTCTCTTTGCTTCTCTCTCCCTCTCTCCTCTTCTCCTCTCTCCCCTCCTCTCTGCCCCTCCCTCTCTCTCTGCCCTCCCCAGACCCAATGTCAGGTGTGTATGGACAGAAGAAAGAACTGTGTGTTCCTGTGTGGCCATGGGACATGTCAGTTGTGTGCCGACAAGATCATAGAGTGTCCAATATGTAGGAAACTAGTCTCCAGGAAGATCATCCTCTTTGACTGATGTTACTGGGTTTGTCCAGATTATGTTATTGCTGTCTGTTGTGTGCAATAGAATCTGCTGATTATTTATCAATTTCTGAGAGTACCGTAAGCCACTGCGTAAACCAAAGTGCTATGGCGGGGTGGGTGCCAAACTGGGCAAAAAGCCATTTTGAACTCTCAACTCTCCTATATACTTACATACAGGTCTTCTATTTGCCTACATAATAATTATATAAGCCTTCTACTTATTTTAAAGGAATCCTATTTGTCATATAGGAGTCTAATTCATTATTATTATAGCATTCCTGTTTATTCTATAGAAATCCTAAATATTATATAGGAGTCCTTAATTATTATACACTGAAACCGAACAATGACATGACACCCTCTCTCCCAACAGACACAATGACACCCTCTCTCCCAACAGACGCAATGACATCCTCTCTCCCAACAGACGCAATGACAACACAATGACACCCTCTCTCCCAACAGTACACAATTACACCAACTGACACAACTCACAAACCACTACCCATACTGAACAAGCTTAGAAACACTCAATACAGACTGCGACCAACTGACACAGAAAACTTGGACTCACTAGACGGCGTTCTTGAGAATATCAGTTGGATAAAGTTCGATATGGTCAAACCATTCCGAACCCGTTCTTCCACAAGAAAGTGTGAGTATGCGGCACTTCGGTTTACAGAATGACTTACGGTAAACTCTGAAATGAAAAGCACTTGAAAGTGCATAACCCTCGCCACTGTTGATTATGGAGGTTCAATAGTTGGCTGTCTCAGAGAAGATCAGAGACTGCTCTTCCTTTAATAATTTTCAGCTGTATTCTTTCTTTGAATACTTGTTAAACCATCAATACAGGCAGACCAGCAAATCCTTTCCACACGCGCAAAGCATCTTGTTTCAGTATAGGAAGCAAATGTTGTGTAGGGGTGTTCGGAATGGTTGTATATAACTACTTCCTGCGATGTGAATTGCGCATTTCCAGTCGGATGCATGTTTTGCACATGCGCACTACGGAACTGACCTAGCTTGCGATATATTAATTATGCGGGAAGAAATTTCGAGAATAATCGCAATGCAAAAGCAGCAAGCATAATCCGAGCATAATAGCTCAGAAACACGCGCGATCGCATAACCGCGCGCCTACTTTTAATTACTGCTGCTGCAGTACCACGTGGCATCTATGTCGTCGTCCTCCGGGTCGCCCGAGCAGCTGTGCGAGTCACGACATCAAGCCGTGCGAGGATGGGTCAGGCTCTTCTGTACCTTCTCATCCTGCAGCAGCGTGCGTTACCCGGCGCTTGGCGCTAAAATCAGCGCCAAGCCCAATTTTCAGAGAAATGAAGCGCCGGTCCTAGCTCTTGCCTACGCGTCTCTGCGCAATACGGGCACACGCGAACGTGGAGTTCCGGTTGTTAGCTGAACTTTGCAATTGGGTATAGCGCCAAGGCCGTCCCTGGCGCCATGTTTTGCCCCAGAGATGTTGCAGGTTGACAACCCTGTTAGTAAAGCAGGCGCCTCTTGCCAGCACCAACAGGAAAAGGAAATTGCGGCGCAACAGGGCTTAACATTGCAAGATTATATTATGTTCTCCATCTGTTGTATATAGGTTCATTTTTGATC